AGGAAATTCTTAGCACCAGAGATACTGGAAGAAATCACAAAATTACCCTTTTGGGATGCCAAATTTGCAAAACCAGTGTGACATAGGGAGGGGGAAAACTTGTATCAGATGCTGAGTTTGACATATGAGATTCACAATAAGTAAAATACCAACTGGGTATATGACAGCTCAAAGGTCTCCATGGTCCCCTTGCATAAGTTTTCATGTGATACTATGACTGTTCCAAGTCAAAGCCAATTGCTAATTAATAACCTGTATAAGGAAACAGATAACTTTCAATATCACTTCTATGAATATTCAATTACAGAAGTTCAGGTAGTCAGATTTAAAATTATTCTTGTCATGATTATAATCTAGTCACTTATTGCTATTTTTCATAAATGATGGCATTTCAAAGGTATCACTGGGGGAATTACCTAAGGCGTGCTGGAACACGCGGGCCGGCCGCAGAGCTCACCGCGTACCTACCACGGGCTTGCTCAGTGACAACTTTCTTTGTCCTAGGACAAAGAAATTCTTTGTTTCTGGGTCCGCGCTAGCAACGCGGCTGGCCCGCGGTAGGTACGAGGTCAGCCACGCGTTTGACCCGCGTGTTCCGGCAAGCTGTAGGCTGTGCCCCTAGTGTATATTATATGATGCCTGAGTTGAGAAACAGAGAATAAATCACAAGTAGTGCCTGACCACCACTGAAATACGCACACCTATCCTCTTCCTGTCTACCCATGGGGTTTAGACACATCAATAATAGTGTCTATTGTGTTATTGTCCAATTAGTCAACTAGGGCCAACACTCTTGCCATGAAATCACTGAGTTTGGCGATATGTCAACACACACTATCACTTGTGCCATTAGACTGTGTTATATCCATGCCGACTCCGGCATTCCGTCTCCGATATCGATTCCGGTATTTGGTTTTTACGCAATGAAGATTTACTGAGCGTTTCCAATTACCCCGACTTATGATCTATGCAATCATCTATGCCTTGTTCCTCGTATGCAACTCCTCTTCTACTTTACTTGACTTTGTTCTAATCTCGTTACTTACTTTGTTATCCCTTATTCCGTTTCCGTTACTTCTCGTACTATAAATACTTTGATGTATTACTACATACTTCAGTTTGTAAATTAACGTTGCTGGTCTCTATCTCCCAGCGTCGTTTCGACTCCGCTCTTCTCTTCTTGTCTTGTCTTGGTCAACTGGAAGCCCCGGTCACCCAATCATCCTTCTGTGGTGTTCCGCCCCCAAGTGCTCTCTCCGACTTCGATTCCGTTTCCGACTTCGACCCCGTCTCCGGTCCTTTGGTCGACATGGCACTTAACAGACTGCATCAATGGTGATGAGGCCAACATTCCAGCTATCAAATATGGGGGACCAAGCATACTTGTTTAGCAAGATGTTGACATGTTGATACAACAGCCAAAAGCACAACCTATCCTCTTCCTCAATGAGTACCAGCAGCACATAATTTTTTCTCTTTCTTTTGGACATGCCATCATTGTGAAAATAGCAACCATCTGGTCACTGTAACTGTTTTATTATAACTAAGCTTGCATTAAAAAATCTGAGTTAGTGGAATATAGAATAATTATAGCTATCATCAGGGTCATAACTCCTGGCTTACTTAAATACTGTCCTACTTTGATTAAGTTTCCTAGTTATATATTACATTGACCAAAAAAAAGCCCTCATGAAAAATCACCATAAATCAAAAAAAAAAATTTCCTGGTCCTGAATTTTGGAAAAAAAAAATTGCCGACACTTGATTGAAATAGGACAGTAGTGCTAATGAGTTGGGTACTAGATTATTGTTGTTGCTCTCATCGGCATTGAGTCTCTATTATTGTATCAAGACTCAATTATATAAATTGAAACGAAGATTGTTATTGCCCTTATCATTGGTGAATTACAGTAAAGCCCTCTTATTGCATCTAGGCTTAATGATATAAATTGAGTTAGTCAGATTCAAGAGTATTGTCATTGCCATGGTAGATATGGTACTCAGACTTGGGCTTGAGTATATCAGCAAAAGTTATTATTGTACAAAAATATCTCAAGAATGCTAGTAAGATACCAAACTTGAATTGCTCAGATTTAAGATGAAATCTCATATAAACAATTAGTTGGGTATAAGATTATTTTTGCTATCATTATAAATTAGTCCTCACAGAACCCTACTATTATTTCTAGGCTTAATTATATATATACAGTTAGTCAGGTTTAGGATTATAAAAGTATATCAAAGTAACAAGCTCTTCATATTCTCAGGCTTAATGCTACAACCTTAGATAGTTGTGATTGGTACTAGTATGGTCAAATGAGCATTATTCAGCTCTGTGAGGTTCTCAGGATTGAACATTTACATATGATATTCCAATATAGTTAAGGCTAGATTTGCTTTTATTTTAGTACACCATAGGTAACGGAGAGGTAATTAAGAGAAAAATTAATGAATATTTCCTCATTCAGAAGTGTGAGAAACAATTAGGGCTGTTGGCCATCACCATAATATACACCTATAGCCAGCCATAATATGGTGCCATAACCATATTGTTGTCACAGATAAGACCCGGCCCGTCCTCTCTGGCACTGGTGTCGGGCCACCGTGGGCCCATAACACACAGCACGTGACGATGGGGAACATGCACCCCAGTAGGAGGAATGCACACGTGAGAAGCACATGACCGAGAACGACACGTCGAGCCGTTGCTGAGCCCAACTCAACACCAGGGGTTGGGGAGGAGTGCTAGGAGGTTATGAGTAGCACCTGGCCTGCAAGGGATGTCTGATTGTCCCCTCTGCGGCCAGGAACGGGAGAGAGGAGGAGGAGGAGAGGCCAGGGTGTCCGATTACCTCTTTGCGGGCCCACGTATATAAGGCGTGATAGTGTACCATGTACTCTATCGATAGTGTACCATGTACTCTATCGCTTAGATCGTCTGAAGAACTACCTGACTTTGTGCAAGGAGGCGCCATCGACTCATTGGCCTGACACGACCCGATCTGAACCTTTGACCACCTCCGACGACAAGGGACCAAGTTCACGGGCCCTTTCGGTTTCGATCTACCCCGCTCGCCGTACTCGCGGGCCTGACTATTTGTCTGTTCTGTTCCGGGCGCGTGTTCTTAGGAGAGGTTCTTGCACGGCCCAACCCACGGAATGGCACTTTCAAATATTGTATAGCTGCATATGGTATTGTTTACAGCCCTAGAAGAAGGCTTAGATAATGATATAGCCATTCTTGGCTGATTACTCTTATATTAACCAGATGTCGTGTGAATGTATGCATATGTTTGGCACTGGCCTTAGTATTTTATTTACTCCACACTGCCATTTCAAGGGTCACTGGCACACTGTGCTGTTAAAGCCCTGAATTGGTAACAAAAGCTGTAAAATATAACAAATCCTAATTCAAATACAAAGCTGTGTCTGATATGTTGCACTCAGTATATGGACACATCATACTTAGGGTTATTTACCATGCTAACATCTCAGGCTAAGTGTGTGCTTACCTCTAAGTAAGTATTCTCAATTTTGTATCAAATTATAAGTACAATGTAAAACATAGTCAAGATATTTAATAAGGTCATTGGGCCCCGTATAGTTGGTAGGATTTTTTCCAATATTTTTCTACCTACAAATTCACTTTATCCAAGTAGCATTCAAAGCTGGGGTATAGCCCCAGCCCTGTCTAGTCTGCCTCAACTATTACCCAACAGTCCTCTTGAGATAAGGCCTGTAATAGGCCTTCTGTGTCCAGCAATATACTTCCTTGCATTCTAGGCATGCACTATATAGATTCTTCTCTTTGGATCCTCTCCTGCCAGACTTAGGTCAGAGCCTCCAGGGTTGCTCTCACAATAGGTGATGAGTAGAAAGAGTTCTATCTGGTATGAAAGCTCACACACCCAGAAGCCTCAGTGCAAACTAACATGAAAAAAGCTTTAGTGAATTGGTAATAAATGTTATTGGATCCTGGGTCTAATTACTGGGCTAATTTCATTTTTGCAGTTCAGAAGGCTGTCCCATCCATAAAGTCTTTCTAAATCCTTCTTTTCAAAATGAATAAAGGGATGCCCTTTTTTAGTATTGTTGCCTTCAATAGTAATTGTGAGTTATAATCAATAAAACTATTAATTACTAAATTCAATTATAGTTACTTTTTCAGTCTGGGTCCAAACTCATTCAAAATAGGTGAGCTTCCTGCATAAATATCAGCAATGAGATATTGAACAGACCATTGTCAATCATGGTCTGATCATGGTCTGATCATGATGTATTGTCATCTGATGACAATCCCTGTCAGACAACCCCAACCTCAAACCACAAACCACCATCTGCTTACCTCAAGACACATCACTCGAACTTCAATCCAGAAAAAACAAAGCTCACAGTTGAAAACACAAACCTTCAAATTATCAGGACACATATTTCACTTCTGGACAAAAGCACATCCCAACCACCTCAAGATCAGTCAGAAACACTACTCAACAAGCTCATAAAGAGCAAAAAACCTCATTACACTATTAAACAATGAAAAAAGATGTTATAGGGCCGGATATGTGGAAGGTGCGATTGTCGATGCTAAAGGATCCGCCAGAGATGCGCACGTTCTCGGCACCCGAGAACATCGACGGTCGCTTGGACCTTGATAATGATATGTAAGCAACGAGACGGGTGTCAAGCGCCCAGCTTACCCCGAAGATAGTGCTCCCTGGCGCCGAGACTGGCCCTTCAGCGTCGATGGGTTTGCCATGGTCGTTGTCAAGAGCAAAGAGAGATACAGCTTCTCCACGCCACGTGTTCCGAGTCTTTGATCGACGTGAGGCAGTGCTCAGGAACATTCCCGCATGCCAGTATTTGCGACTAGTATGGTTGTTGGTGGCTGAGCGACTGGCGCACGGGCATTGTGCGTAGGGTAAAGCAAGGGCTCGAAAGGGAAGAAAAAGACTTTTTTGCCGAGCTGACACGGTGACACGTCACATCACTTCTTTTTTTCCCTTTTCTTCTTCAATGCCGACCCGTCTTCTTCCGGAAACGACACATTCACGCTCAGCGCGGTGTTACGACGCGCTTTGCCTCGGCCGCAGCCATACCCGGCACGGCGCGCAATCCGGGGTGCAAGGGCTTGCGAGCTGGTCTCTTGTCTCTGGTTAACGAAGGGCGAGCGCAGGTTGCAGGAAAGCTTCAGAGCGGCTCGCGTCGGAACCGGTGCTTGTGCTGGCGGGAAGATGGTGCGCTGCAATGCCGTCGTTTGTCATCGTGCCCTTTGCTCATCTTTTTCACGCCATGCGCAGGCTATCTACCCGACTGTGTCTGTGCAACTGAGGCATACGTTTCTTTCCCATAACCTTGAAAGAGCGGCAAGCTATTGCATCCCGTCTTGCCCCCTGGTTGCCCCACTTGCCCGCTTCAAGTTTCCACCTGCGTCGGCCCACTGCCATGCATTCGATTTGGATGGCTTGCCAGCGACCTTCGAGTTGCGAGCGCTGTTCATTGGAAAACGGAGGATCGGCGCAAACAGCACGGAAGCGGGGTCGGAGGTGGTGCGTACCAGCAGCTACACATGTCTCGTCATCCGTTGACTCACTTTCTCTCTCCAGCGCTGCCTCCCAGCCTGTCGGTCCGAACTTCCTCTTCGTTCCTGCCGCACTATACAAAGTCATCTGCACGCAATGCCACGCATCCCTACCTTCTTTCCTCCCATTGCTGGTTGCGGGCCCATAATCAATAGTCAATAGTTGCGCACACCCGGCGACCCTGGCGCAATCGCGGACGAGTATGCGCGCGTTGGATATGGGGAGAAGCCCGAGAAGCGTCGCGGAAGTGAGCTTATTTGAGCGACGTCGCCGCCCATGCGTAATTGGAACTGGCGGCGAAGAAGTGGCTGGGTGACTCTCGGCACCGGACGCTCGTCAAGCTCTACGCCCTCCCCAGGCCCGGTGCCCTTAAGCTTATTCACGCGGTCTTTCCTAGTTGCGTCTACGCCTGGAACGCGGCACAAGGAGCAGAAAACATCTTGTGCGCTGACCACCGCCTGGTCACTTATCAGCGGGCGCTCGACGTGACGCTGTGACATCCGCCCTGCTTCGTGCTTCCCGCTTCTCTCTCCCCCCACTTTGGCACGCGCGCGAGCGCTCCGCGGAGAAGAGCTGGGGCTGGCGGCGGCTTAAAACGACCCCCCGGGGGGTTGGATGGGGCGTTTTTCTTTCTTTTCCCCCGTTGACTATGCCTCTCCCGTCGCTGGACGAGCTGTTCCACGGATACTCTTCGCACAGACTGTCACCGCGCCCCGCCAGCGACGCTCGCAATGCACCTCACTGGCCGCCACGTACTGCAGCGCCACTTGCTACTAGTGCACATGGCGCGCCGTCGACGCTTTCCGCCGGACCGGCCCAACAAGTGAGGCCGGCGCCACATCCGAGTCCGTCTGCTACCCGCGCTTTCGCGTCTATCCTGAAAGGGCCCGGCGTCGCTGGCTGTGCTGCTGCTTTCCCGCTGACAAGCCGGGGGCACACCACAGCGGCGCCGCTCGTTCTCGAGAGTCTTCCCACCGCATCCTACCAATCGAATCGCGCCCCTGATTTCGCCCAGACTCGCCACAGGCGGTTCGGGTTTCCTGACCCTCCCGTCGATGCTGCACTGGCACGCGGCCGGGCCGAGCAGGAAGCGCCGATACCCGCCGATGGCTCTTCTGTCTTCCCTCGGTCAAGCGTACGCCCGTCGCCGCTAGTGGATAACGCCCCACTGGCACACCCCCCTGCTCGTATAAGCCCATCAGAGGAGGCGCTCTCGCATTATATCCCTCCGTCCTATCCCGGCGCTTCCGGCTCATGCCCCACCCCAACTTCAAACAAGAGCCCTATCCGAGTCGGCGGGCGACCCCGCCCGCCCACTCACAACGTGATCGCGATGCTGCGCGGTGAAAGCGAACGCGAGCGAGTATCCTATGGAAGCGCGCCTCGGCCTGCTGTTGCTCCGTCGGGTTGTCCACCCACTTCAGCGCCAACCTCGGCAGCCTCGCGGTTTTTCAGTACTGGTGGCGCCCCGGCCCCCGCGTCGCAGCCCTTTCAAAATCCCATCGAGTTTCGGCCCATCGTCTTCCCCCAACCCACGAAGCAAGCACGTGCACCGCGCGTGGAGCGTCCGGTAGCGCGCCACGCCCGCCCGCACTTCGGGTCCGACAAGACTACAGATGCTCGGCACCCGCGCGGTATGGCGGCGGCGAAAAGCACCGTGCTCCGGCCCGCCGTCTTTACTCCGGCGCTTCCTGAAGGGCCGCTCACTGCAGCTCTTGTTATGAGTCCCTCCCCGTTTACTTCGGCGATCGCCCCGCCCGTCTTCGGCCCTGGCCCCGGGTCGGCACCTCCGCATCGGGATCACGGGACAGGTGGTACGCCGCGCAGGACGGCGCCGGGGCTACGGCATATTTTGAACTCCAGCCCCATACCTCGCCCGTCGGTCTTCAATTCGGATTCAAGTTGGCGTTGTGTCCAACGGGGGAAAGGTGCAATGAATTTGGACCACTGCTCTAACCCACTGGCACCGTCGGCCGACTCGGAGCACGACACGATGTTTCGTTCCCGTGTGCCTATCACGCCTGGGCATATGACGGCACCGAACGACGCCCGTGTCAGGGTGCACAGCCCAGAAAGAGCAGTTCCGGAGGCGCACCGCCAGTTGACACACGCGGCCAACTCACATCCCCACAGCCCGTCGCCGCCGCCGGCCTCGGCCTTCGGCGCCGACCCCGCCCCCGGCCGGACGGTGCATTTCCACCACTGGCCGCCGACCTCGGCGCGGCGCGGCTGCGTGTCGAACCGCCTTGAGCTGCGGACGGCGTGCGCGAAAACGGCGCTGCGGACTGTTGTGCGCCGCAACGACCGCGCATGCCCGCCCGGGCCAACCGGCGACTCCGGCTTCTCCCGGCCCGCGCGGCGCGCCACGGGCGGCCCCTGTCCTCTCTGCGGCCGCTGCTTCGTGAACCGGCGCAACCTCGAGAAGCACATCGCCGGCCACCGGCTCCCCCTCCGGCTGTGCGTCCGCCCTCTTTCCTTCCGTTCTGTACCCGTGACTGACCGTCTTGTGCAGCGTACAGGTGCGGCGTGCTCGGGTGCGGCGCGCTGTTCCGGCTCAAGCGCGAGATGCGCGACCACGAGCGGTACGACCACAGCCACGATGGCGCGGATCACGGCGATCCACGCCGGCGCCGCACCCGCCATCGGTACCAGCTCCGGCCGCGGCCCCGCGCCGCTCCCCCACGCGTCCCGCTCCCGCCGCCGCCGCCGACGCCACGCGAAGGCTGGACGGAGGGCATGTGGTGAAGCGCCTACGCTTGGGCTGATTTTGTGTAGCTTTCTGGTACGATCTTGGTGAGAGAGGGGCTTTCTTGGATGTTCGGCACACGATGTATGTTATTAGCTAATAGTTGACATTGTATAATGATTTCATTTTCCAGAGAAAAAAATGGTCCCAAAGGAAACACTTATTTTTGAAAAAATAGTGCATTCATTTTCGAAATGGTGATTTTATGGGCCATAATCTGTGATATATCTCGAAAATTTATCGGAAACCAGTGGTGGGTTGGACCTGATAAGCCACATGGCATTGTGTAATCTCTAGAGGAACGATGAACAATCATTCTATCGAGAAATGGTGACCGGGGATATGGTGTAGTGTGAAGTCAAACCCAGAAAGGTACAGCGACCATCAGGCTTGCCGAGGATTAAGGTGCTGTGCCTTTCGGAAATACTCCAAATTCTTATGGTCAGTCCAGATCTCGACCGGATGCGCGGTGCCCTCAAGGAAATGCCGATACTCCTCGAGTGCGCGGATGATCGCGAGCATCTCCTTGTTGTGAATCTCGTAGTTGCGCTGGACATCATTTAAGCTCTTGTAATAGAATGCTACAGGGTGCCATTTCCCGTCTGAGGCAGATTGTTGTGAAAGAACCGCCCCTGTTGCATAATCCAAGCTGTCTGTTTCGCTAAGACAGGTTCTGAGACAATCACGTCCTTGATGGCTTGAAAGGTGGCGGCTTCGGCGTCTCCCTAGGTCCACTTCCGGTCTTTCTTGGTAAGCGCAAAGAGAGGCTGTGCAAGGGCCGAGAAATCCCGAATGAACCTGCGGTAAAAGTTAGCAAGCCCCAGGAACTGCTGGACATCCTTTTTATTCTTGGGCGAAGACCAAGCAGAGACCCCGGCGACCTTAACGGGGTCCATTTCGACGTGGTTGTGAGAGATAATGACCTCCAAGTACTCGATTGACAATTTCTCAAAGTCGCACTTCTCCTTGCAGAGGTACAACTTGTGCATTCGGAGTTGCCAAAGGACTTCCTGGACAATTTTGCAGTGCTTGTGAAGATCTGAGTGCACGATAAGGATGTCATCAAGGTAGATCATAACGTCTCCTGAGAGAATGAGGTCCTGGAAAATGTGATTAATTGTAAGGGCAACCCCGGAGGCCTGAGATCAAGGTCCTAGCAGGGGAGGATCCAAAGGCGTGAACATTGGTAAGCGAATACAAATGAAGCTGACCTAGCAGGGGAGGATCCAAAGAGAAGAAACTCTAAGGGTCCGCCTGCTAGGTAGCTGACTATATACTGCTTGTCCGTAGCTGCCGCTGTCGGGCACAGAAGGCTTGGGCGGCGTCGCAGGCGAGGTCCCAGGGCGACCGTCGGGAGGGCGTTGACGGATCGGTGATTGTGCGGGCGAGATGGAGGGCCGGACCGGAGACGGAACCGAGTCGGACCGGAATCGGAGGCGTCTCCGAGGGGCCGAAAGGGAGGTTCCCCTGACATCACCCCCCCTTTGAATGCGGCGTCCCGACGCATAGACCGGAACGGAATCGAGTCGAAGGTCGCGGAGGCGATGTGTCGTGGGCTTGCCAGGGTACTTACGATAGAACTCCGCAATTTTCTCCGGGGCGAAGACGCGGTCGAAGCGGACCCATTGGTCGTGCGATGCGTCGTAGCCTTTCCATCTGACGAAGTAGTTCAGCCGTTTATACCTCACCCTTGCGTCCAGGATTTCCTCTACTTCCCACTCCGGGACTCCGTCCTCGAGGTCCGGAGGGGGCTGGTCGTAGCCGGGCGTCCGTCAAAGGGGGTCGTCCTGAGCGAGCTCGAGCTTGACGACGGGGAAGACCGGGTGGAGCTTCGAGTAGCGGAGGGGGAGGTCGAGCTTGTAGGCACCTTTGCTGATCTCCTGACTATCTTGAACGGTCCAAGGCGGCGATGGGAGAACTTTTCCGAGGGGCGAGTCGTCCTGATGTCAGAGGCATCCAGCCAAACACGGTCGCCAACCTTAAACTCCGGAGACGGAGTCCGTCTCCGGTCGTAGTAGCGCTTGTACTCCTCTTTGGCCTTAGTGAGCGCGGCCTTGGCTTCAGCAACACCAGTGGCGATCCGGTCGCGGAACTCGTTCACTGACTCCATGGCGGAACGGACTCCGGGTTCGAAGCCCATGCGCGGGAGCCGTCCCGTGTCCGTCATGAAGGGGACCTGCTGCGTGGAGGAGTGAACGTGGTTGTTGTAGGCGAACTCCGCGGCCAGAATCAGCTCATCCCAGTCGTCCTGCTGGTAGTTGGTGAAGATCCGCAAGTACTGCTCCAGCTCCAGGTTGACGCGCTCTGTCTGACCGTCTGTCTGCGGGTGGTACGCGGTAGACGTGGCGGGCTTGATGCCGATTAGACGCCAAAGTTCTCGGGTGAAGTCCGCGATGAACTGCGAGCCGCGGTCGGA